AAAAGGACTTTTTTTTTTTTTTTTAAACTAGTCTGGTAGTTCAAAAGGAAGTTACTTAACTACATCACTACACAGACACTTAACATTCAGTCAGTAAGGCTCTACGAAAAGAGCTTAAAAAATTATCTACCTGAGTTTGTAAGTTGATACAATCATTAATAGAAGGTCTAAGACCATGCAGGTACACAAAGCATTTTTAGAACCATTACTGGTTAAACAATGATGGAAAAGGATGCCAGTCTGGCTCGTTAACCCGTAAGATCACTTAGAGACATCAATGTACATTTTCCACCATAACATTTACCAAACCCAACACAGTCTATCATTATTAGGGGTCCCCTGTACCCACTTGTCACTCCCTAATATGAGCAGGGGAAGAAAAAAGATTTTTTCGATATAGTAATCTGAAAATGTGCTACTGCAACTTTACTCCACAGGTAAAACAAGGGGCATGTTGCATGTCACTATTACAGTTGCATAAAACCCCCACATACTGGTTTTAATCTGCCTCTCCTGAGAATGTCTGACTCTAAACTGCCCTCCAGGAATAGGAACTTGGTTGCTTTGTCATGGTGGAAAAAATCCCATTGAGTCAAGAGAGCTACTAATACAATCACCAAGTCAGAAAAAATCAGGATCTTATTCCCTTCAAGCATTTGGTATAGCACTGTGGTTACAGCAATCGTAACGTTAGTCTTTCCGAACAGGACATATTTGTAGGCATGCATAAAAGTTTTTCTCTTGTAGAGAGAAGACCTAAAGGTCTTACGGACATAAGAACACTGCAAATGAACATGAAGTATGTCATGTCAGCTAGTAGTGTCATAATACTGAAAAAAAGTTTACATTTCCATACTTTGTAGTGAGAACAGAACAAACTCACAAGTGTTTCATGTATCTCGGTCCAGTTTGCCTGAACATCCAAACATTTGATTTTATTTACAGATTCTCTAGCAAGGGCAGCTTAATATTTCCATGGGCAGGCAGCAAGAAAAAAAAAAGGCAAACAAAAACAAGAAGTCACCACATTGTACACACTTAGTATTTCTGTTTCAGTTAAAAATGCTTGTCCAACAGGCAGGATGAATCCTTCCCCCAGGCAGATTCTCAATTATTTCTCAAACCCGTCTGATGCTAAATTGAGGTAGATGATTTACTTCTGCAAAGTGAGGTAGAACTTCAAGAAAAATATAGTGGCATCTCTAGTTGTGCATTTTGTACCACAGCAAACTGGGTTTCAAACTCCCAAGGACTCAAAGACCAGAGGTACAATATTTGTCTAACGCAAGTACCAGTGTTCATTTTTTATACAGCTCCAAACTGTTTGTCTAAATATCTCTATCTTTAAATACCCTATTACCTTTTGGCACCATTTGGCTTACACTCCTTTTTTTTTTTTAAAAAAAAAAAAAAAAAGGCAAACAAACAAAAAAAACCCAAAACACTTTGGCACAATTTTATTTTTTTTCAAACCGGAACTGAACAAAGAAATCTTATGATCAAAGTTATGGCAAGATAAGCCTATAAACCTGCTCTCTTCAGAAATCAAGTTTGGTTTAACTGCAACATAACAGACTGGGCCCATTTTCCTGCAATCCCAAGGGAATACCACATCCAAGTGCCCTGCTCTTCCTCCTCCCAACTGGCTGGCTGGACCAAATACGCATTAGTTTTCAGGTGTTGTTATCCTTCCCTTGCTTTCTTTACAAGTTTAAGGTTTATGGGCTTCCTTAAATAAGATGTATTTAAAAAGTAATAAAAAGGAGCGAATTATCTGAAGGACCTGCATTATCAAGTACTGAGTCTGCTTCAGTTTGCTACTGAAGTTCCTGGTTAAATAGTTCTGAGAAAGAACAAGACTGCTTCACAGGCTGAACCCAAAACAGCCGTACTGACTGATCTTTTTGTCAAGAAAAAGTTTACTGAGAGCCACTGGTTTAACCTGATATAGTGAAATTCCTTTGGGAGTTCTAGTAGACAAGTCTGTCCCCCGCATCTGTTGTTCCCCAACGGCAGAGCTAAGGGAAAGAGGCACACGCTCACCCCACCCTTCTCAGGCCATTTCCACTAGTTCAGAAGATTACTCTGAATGCTTCTTCAGTTTGCAATCCAGCTTCAAAGCCTTGCTTTTTCTCTCTGCACGCATGTATGTTATGATACTGGGGCACTAACCTGAGAACATGCATAGCCTGAGAACACGCATGGAAAAACAGAGCAAGGTTTGAATCTTATTTAAATATTACTTTTTAAAAGCCCCTATGGGGCATCTGATGTTGGCATTGTATGTTATCGCTACTTATTTTCATTGCATATAAAACACTCCCATTTTATAAGCTACACTAACCACTTTTCAATGAGACCAAGTGTGCTTAGCACTAGCTATGACAAATATAGGAATTGTTTTGGGTAGCTAAATAGTAGTGTTTTTAAAACGATAAAGATCCCCAACACATGAGGTCAAACACTTGAGGTTTGGTTTGTAAGCAAATCCCACTGAATAAAAACAACAGCAACTTCGAAAGAGTTGAAGTCATTCCTCTTCCTGACAGAGCCAGACTTGGGGTTTGTGCAATGGCTTCATACAAAACAACAACGGGCAACTTCAGTGTCTGTCACCACCTACACAACGCAGGCTGGAGAGGCCAAAAAGGCTTCTGCAGTTCAACACAAATCCTGAATGCACGCTTAATTTTTTTTTTTTTTTTTAATGCCTGAAAAACAACTCCCTTCTAGTCCCAGAATGGGAAACCCAACAAGCATTAAAGCACAAGAGCATTTCTAGCATACTCCAACACTGTCAGCCACTCTGGTCACGGTATTAAGAGACCTGGCATTTTTATTAAGACATGATAGAATAAATGCAAGGACACTGCAAACTAAACATTAAAGCTTTTTAAACCAGTTTTCTTTGGTATCTAGATCTTGCAGGCTACTAGTTTTCACAGCCCAAGTTGCAAATAATCCTTGGACTAAATAATACAAGACAGAAACATCTGTCACAACTGTAGGCCACCCCCGAGAAGGGAGGCATGTACACAAGCAGAACTTGAAAAAGTTGAAGGTAAACTAGCTTTCTCATACCCATATTTTGAGTGGCCACAGAAATTTAATGACAGACATCTGTATAAAAGATTATCCTTTAAAGACTGTTTTTAAACCGTGCTATCCTAAGATTAAGCCTAACTGAAACACACTGCTTTGAAGAGTTTGCTTCCTCGAGGCTTTGGCTGAAAGGCAGCACAGTTACTTTATCTTACTTAATTTAGGTGTTTTTCCTCGCCCTTCTTTCAAAAGAGGTTTTGTCATCTCATGAATCTGTCTGTCTCTTTCTGGTCCTTTAGTTTAAGCCTCCTAAAGTGGCAGCTATCTGTCTGCACACATCATCAGGATTTCTATAAAACCCAGAAAGTTAACACTCCTTGGAGGGGAAAAGCAGCAAGAATGAAAGTGCACCTCGTGATTTCTCACAAATTTGTAAAGAGCCTTTCAATCTCAGGTCACTTTTGTGCATGATGGCTGGAGGAGAGATGAACCCGTTCCTTGGAGGATGGTTAAGGCTCTTCAGACTTTTTGATAACAACCATGTTTATGTTTGAGATCTTCTCTTGCAAACAGTAAGGTAAATCCCATGGCATTTCCAAGCCTAAGAGTACTGATACATAATTTTTTCCACTGCAGAGACAGAAAAGCCTTCTGTTCCCTACTTTAACAATTCTTGTTTGCCACCAAAGGCCTTATCCAGAAGGTGAAGGCAACAACTCTGTAGAGACCATATCTGCATTAACAGGTAAACTGGAATGCAAGAAATTGAAGAATAAAACCAAATACTTCCAGGGACTCAAAGTCACATTTTGCTAAAGAGTTCTCTATTCTCCCAAAAGGTTTTGCTTCTCAGAAAAGCTGTTTTATTATCCCTGAAAGGGCTAACTTCCCCCTGCCTCCAAGCTTTTAAGGATCATATACATCTATTTTACACATAATTCTTTGGTACTGCCCTGGAGAAAAGCAGCAAAGTTTCATTTTGATGCAGTTTGCCTTATGCTGGTACTGGTAACTTTTCACTTGGATCTGTAGCTTGAGACACATGGAGCTACAGGCCCACCTCACTCTAAAAAATACCTTCCTGAATTTTTCTGTCCAGTTCTTTGGGGAAGCCAGAAAATAAAAAAAAAAAAAAAAGGTAATATTTTGTCGTTGATAGTTATTGCAATCCTCTTTAAACAGAAAATTCCTATTGACTTCTCCGAAACGCACCCTGAATCTCCAAAGCTGTGCTTATTTCTTACTTTTGGAAAGAAGGTACCACTTCTGTTCTAATAAATCCAAACGTTATTTCCCTTAAAGTCTCTCTATGGGGAGGGTTAAAAAAAAAAAAAAGCTAGTCATTCACAAGAAAGTAAATCAAAAGTGTTTGATTTTTCCCTGTTTCAATACTCCTTGTAACCTCTTCTGTTATCCAGATTAGGCTCACTGATAAAAGAAACGGTAACTTTTTAAAAACTAATTTAACTTTCTGTTGAAAAGGGTAGAAAGAAATACTCAATGACAGGATACATTAAAGGAAGCCTTGCTTTTTATCTAAACTTTACAATGACCGCACTAAGCCACTAAAATGAACAATTTGGTTTAAACTTGAAGAATTTTTGTGCATTTTCATCAGCTTCACTTTGTGCTGTTGGATTACTGTGTTTCAGAAAAAAATACACAGAAATGCCAAAAAGATGCAAACTTGCTCTTCCCGGCGAGTGAATTCCACTCACTTTCACAAAATGTTCAAAGTCGTCTGGGAACAAGACGCTGTGCTCACCAGTAAATCAAACACACTGAGGTATAAAAAGGAGAACAGGAAAAAGTTCTCTGCTGCAGCAGCAATTCAAAAATCAAAAGTCCCCCCTCCCATGTCCCCACCCACAGAACTGCAGTATGGTCATGAACACAAATTCTCTACAAACACCTACTACCATTTTCTCCATTAAAAAAAAGTTACATAGAGCCTTTTTTGGCTTAGTCTACAGAACTCGCCACACAAACCACCTAATGTGCACAGCAACATGTTTGTGCATGAAACCCCATCGCAGGGGGGAGAGGTAAAACATTCTGAACTGTGAGTGTGTGGGGATGGGGAAGGGGGCAAGAAACCGGGGAGGGAAGGGAGGACAATGAGGTAGATAGAATTTAACTTTACAGGCTCACTCCCTGCAGAAAAAGATAAGTACATTCATCTGTAAAAAAATTAAAGATGAGGTAGGTTTGAATTAACGTTGTATTTTTTCATTTTCTCTTAGAAGAATTTCCCTGAGACAGTTTCTTCCTAATTCAAACACGGATTAGAAGACGAGAATTCGATTGTTTCCGAAGTCGACCACAACAATCATGCCATCAGGGGTGACGGCTATACCTGAAGGACGGTCCATCTGACCAAAGCCGCTTCCCTGAGTGCCAAACTTGCATAAAAAGCTACCATTTGACTCGAAAATCTGCACCCGGTGGTTCCTGGAATCGGCCACGATGATGCGCCCCTCCTGATCCACCGCCACTCCCTGCGGGCGCAGGAACTGGCCGTTCCCGGTGCCCTCCGAGCCCAGAAAGCGTGCTGACTGGCAATCTGGATGGATGACCAGAAGGCGATGGTTGTTGAAGTCTGTCACTACCAAGTGGCCCTCATGATTGAAAGTCACACCTCTGGGGGAATCAAAGTGCTTCCAGAGTGCCCCTTCGAAGCCATACTTATTAAGAAACACACCGTCAGGCCCAAACAGCTGGATGCGATGGTTCCTTGTGTCAGAGACCAGGATCTTGCCCTCTGCGTTGACGGCCACATCCCATGGGTAATTGAATTGCCCGTTCTTTGTTCCTTTCTCCCCAAACTTCAGAATGAACTGCCCCTCAAACGTGAAGATCTGGATGCGATGATTGTCCTTGTCCGCCACAACGATCCTACGCGAGACGTCACAGGCCACGCCGGCCGGGCGATCGAACTGGCCCGGCCGGGAGCCCAGCGTGCCAAACTTGTGATGGAAGGTCCCGCACGGTTTGAACACCTGGATGCGGTTATTGCTGCGGTCGGCAACAATGATGTAGCCTTCTTTGTCTACACTAACCCCCCAGGGGCGGCAGAGTTTGCCGTCGCTGTCTCCCTCGCTGCCAAAGGAGAGCCCCGGCAGCCCAATGCCTATGTAGCTGCGCCCAGATTTCACCACAACTTTGAAGGGGCTGTTCTCAATGTGTTGGTTGCACATCATCACGGACACCAGGTGCTCTCCCTCTAGCTGCGGGCGGTAGCTGACCAGGTAGGTCCCGTTCTGCTGATCGCTGACATCTGCCCCAAAAAGGTTCCCATCTGGGCCCATCACCACGGCTGAGATCATGTCACCTCCCGAAAGGCGAGGCTCACCGTCATGGTCGTAGCCTATCACTGTGAAAGAGGCCACTTTGCCCTGCAGCGCACGCTTGAGGCCTTCCCCGGTGGCTTTAGTCAGAGGGGCAAAAGCCCCACTGCTGACAAAGCCCATCGATTTAATGGCCATATACAGTGCCTGGTCAGGGGGAGTGAACATGATCCTGTCATCTTCCTGTGGCTGGAGAAGGCCTCTCACATTCTTCAGCTCCTGCACCTGAGCCAGCATGCGGTCCCGAGCCAGAAGAATATCCATGGTACGACCCTCCTCCAGGACCTGCTGGACAGCACTAATGGTGTTGTCCAGCTTATTTAGGTTCTGACGTAACTTTTCAACTTGCAAGTAGAGTGACTTAGCCTTGACTTGACGAATCTTTTCCACCTTGGGGGGGGACGGGGGGAGAGAGAAAAGCACACTTACATCAGGAAAGACAACCCTTAACACAAACATTTCCTACTGTCCCTCAAAACGCTTGTGCAGTTGTTGCAGCTTGTTGACACAGAACTGCAGAACAAGCCTCTAAAAGCCGTGACGCAGAAACAAAGTAATTTATCCAAATTCAGGATTACTATTAACTCCAATCCTCCAGCTAAAAATCACACATTCTTACTCCACAGATCTGCTACATCAGAGTGCCATTTGAAAGGAAGAGTCACTTGCTTACTAATAATGATTTGCTTCCTCAAATGCTATTCTGTTTTCTAATTGCAAGGTAGTTGGCGGTATGATATGAATAATATGAAGGTACATCTTATTTAAACTCCAGGGAGGACACAGGTTACTGGAAGCTCTCAAGAAAGAGGCTTTTCTAACCAGAATTGAGACCAATTCCAGAAGGTAGGCTGTTATCACACAAAGCTGAGGCTAGGAGTCAGCACTAGCTAATGCACATGGGCTCTTGTCATTTCCCTTCCAGCCAGAACTGCTCTCATGTGACTGGATAACAGACATCTATCTCCAGGGATTTCTAGGGTCCAATTATTTTAATATTTTCTTGTAAATATTGGCAGTCATGCCGAGGTAGCGCTCTACAGCGGTATGCTTTATAATGTCACTTCAAACGACACAGAAGGTTGCTGACAGTCCTTGCTTGGGGGACTGAAGCTCAAGCAAAAATGGTTTGTTTGTAACTATTATAAAACCCTGTGTTTATCTTTACTTGTGAAAAACCACTTTAGACCATCTGGCAAAAACACCTGCCTTGTAAAACCAATGAAACATGTAATTGTTTTATTGTTGCAAAAATATATTTCCTTATGTCTGAATACCTGCTTGGCTGCAGAACAATACCAGCAATGTATTTTAATGAGGTACAACTCACTCTCTGAAGACTCCTTGGTTATACACTGACTAGGTAACAGATGTACAAACATGCTATTTCATTGAAAGTTAAGGCATGCAAATTTTACCAGACTTTAAAAAAAGTCAGAGATGCTTCCTCCAACATATTTCTAAGAGAGATCACTAATCTTAGGTCTCAGCTTAATCTTTAGCCTCAGCTTTGGTACCCAAAATTATTCACTAACACACTTCATCGCATGAGGGCTTAATACACTCAGCTTTTGTTTGCTAGAACGATTTATCACCACCACCAAGTTTCCTTCTTAAAATAATGTTTTATAAGCTGAAGAGAAATTGCTCTCAGTGCAAACATTCTAATGAAGTGCATTTATGCAGCCTCTTGGGATACAAATATCTCAGGGGCAGCTCTTACTTCTCCTGTACTAGGAATACCTCAAAAGAGACAGCTGCCAAGCTTCTTAAGGAAGGCTGACAGTGAAAAGTGAACTCGTCTCCCTCAATCCAAATACCTCAGAAAAGGCAGCGTTAGATGCACAGTAACTATATAAAGTGCATTTTTAATCTTGCGTTGACAGTTACAAAAGAACTACAGAAGAACAAACTTCCCTTTTAGGGGATTAGTCTCGCTGTAGCTAGAGTAGTTCCATACAATAAACTCGGATACCAGAGTGGTCATTTTGCTGGCAACAGATATTAAACTAGAAAATTACTGTTCCAATCCAAGTTGATGGAGAAGAGGCAGGGGAGAAGCACTTTGGCAGGATGCTCTGCTTCTTGGCAGCGTGTGCCTCACCGGCCACAGGTACACGATGTCCTGGCCCTGCCAGTACCGGCAGCGGCCACACAGCACCCGCCTCCCCACCACCCTTTATCTGGTCCAAATGCATATTACAGGAGCATGCTCAATTTACTCCTAAACTTTTCCCATCTTGACCACCTGTCTTTGCTCCCCTGTACCAGCATCAGCAATCGTGTGGTCACAGCACAAGTCAGTTTGACTCGCTGATCTGAAAGTCCTAACCCAACGGCAGAGTGTGGGTTTCTGTTCGATTCTACAAGGGGGACCCAAAGGGCCGATCCAAACTAACCTGTGCTAAACAAGCAAAGAGCCACGACCACCAAATTACCTTTCCAGTATAAGAAACTTTGCTGTTACTTCCTTTACTTCTCTCAAAATACCACACGTGCATCATGGGCAGAAGCAAGTGCATGAGTTTGGCACTGTGCAGATAAGTGTTGCTGAAGAGTATTTTCCTTCTACTAGTGAAATAAAAATCAGAGGGACACTACCTTGACTGAGAGTAAACTTAAGCTTTTTGGTTTGGGGACAATGAAAGTTAAGTCTTGCAGAATTTCTACTAGTCTAAGAAAGGAGACAGCATATACAGCTTTGCTCTTTTCCTTTGTTTATGAGAAGCGGATCATGTAAGAAAACCCATATACTACCTACCTACTACAGCAATGTATTAAAGAAGTTTTAAAGATAAAGAGGTTTTGAAGACATTCTTTAAAACAAGATGCTTAAAGGTGACCTCTTCTCTGGCCAGCGCTGTGGCCGGAGGCAGGGCTGCCAGGCCTGCCCTACCCGCGGGGCCGAACTCGGGCGAGGATACAGGAGTTCCTACAAAAGTCCAACCAGTTTCTTTGATTAAGAGATACCTCCAGCACAAAAGCAACCGGGGCCAGAATCCAGCATCCTCCTACCTACAGAAAAATGAATTCACAGCGAACCATAGTGTTTCTGTTCAGCGTTCCTTGGGAGGATATCAGAAATCTGGCCATATACTAGTTTTTTAGTGTTCAATCTGAAAAGACAGTTCAAACCACAAATGTAAGGTGCATACCTTCCAGAGCAGCTCACACTCCCGCTCTTCCAAGGCCTTCTTATGTCTAGTAGTCACTGCTTTGACTTCAGACTGTACCACCTTTGCTTTCATCTCAACCTGCTCTGCCACGGCCTGGGCCTGTTCAATACTCAGCTGGGGAGAAAAAAAAAGATAACACATTTATGAGTCAACCAAACCAATCAGAAACACATCAGAGAACTGCTGCTTACATTTCACTACCCTTCAGGTGAAGGCATAAAGTGACAACTCTTGTTTTTTTGTTTTTTTTTGTTTTTTTTTTTTACTAGGCATTCGCCCATATTTAATACATCAGAGCCTGAAAACTGATGTAACTTTATTACATCTATTACAGGGAGTTTACGCCTTCATCGTACCGTGCACCAACACCACAGGACTAAATTCCCTGTGCAGTTCTAGCAAGCAACTAATATGAACTCAAACAAGAGACCTGCACAGAAATTCATACTCATGTTTTCCTACGTATAAAGAACCCAGATTGTCTTGTCCCACAAAATAGTTCAGACTGTTGTTGTGTGATGCTTCTACTTCTAGTTAAGATATGACACTGTATGGAGTGGTCATATATGCACCTGAGTTGCACAGAAATACCCCTAACAATGTGTAGTTTATCACTTTTAAAAAAAATCAAATATTAGTTGGTTATCATTAATAAGCATTTATATAGTTATTCACAACTTGGATAGAGACCAAATTCTAATAGAACCTTGTTTTTAAAATACTAGTATTACAAGCTATAGTAATATTCTGCAAATATGCAGAATGCATCTGGAAGGAACATGTCTCTTCTCCCCTCAAAGAACGATTTAGTTCTCTGAAAAATCCTTCTCAAGTTGCTCCCAGTTTCACAAAATATTACAGAAAAGGGCATAAAACCAAACAAGATAAAGAACAGGCAGATCTGAAGGATCAGTTACCACTGGAAAGGGTTCAATAGCATCAGTTAACTGACTCTTTTCAACATCTTTGTCATACAGTGAACCAGCATTAACATGCAGATAAGACTGTAAACCTGAGAGTTTAAAAGATACTAGTTTATTAGTTACAAAATTCTAGAACAAAGTGATGGCATGTGAGGGTATTTAGCCTAGAAAATAGAAAGCTCAAGGGGATTTTACCAGTGTATGCAAATACCTGAAGGGAGGGTGCAAGAACAACTGAGCCAGGTTATTTCCAGTGATACCCAGCCACAGGCCCAGGAGCAACGAGCACACACTGAAATACAGGAGTTTCCCCCTGAACATCAAGAAAACACTTCTACTGTGAGAGTGTCTGAGCACCAGCATAGGAAGTTGTGGAGTCTCCATCCTTAAGAGATACTCAGAAATTGTCTGGAAAGTGTCCTGGGCAACCAGATCTAGGTGCTTGAGCAGGGGGTTTGGACAAGACCTCCAGAGGTCCATTCCAACCTCAACCATCCTGTGATTCTGACTGTAGCATCAACAGTTTACTTTTTTCATAAGGTTGGCACACCACAGCATTTTATTTCTAGAATTTTAATATTAAGTAACATACACAAGATACCTAAACCCCTACTAGCATACTACACATGACTGTAGCATCTCAACAATTTGTTGACAGCTGAGAACATAACTCAAACTCGCCTTCATTTTCCACATTACGTACCGAAAGCCATGGAAATAGCCATGGGTATTTGTTTTTAAATACAGCATTTTAGATACTTCACAACACCTTTCCCTCACTCTGGTCTGAGGAACTGGTCCATTTCAGAACTTGAGCTGTTTCAGACTAGGTAGCAAGGGAACGCTCTGGTAGAAAACATGTTTAGTCTTCAGAAATGCAGGCTAGATACAGTGGAGAAAAATGTCATTTAAAGGCTTTACTGTACATGCAGGGCCCTACGGAAAATATCCTCAGTTTAATTCTGTATATGAGTATGTACCAATCCAAGAACTACCTGATGCAACAATCTATGAACTACCCAGTGTGATCCAGCTTTGTCTAGAAAGTCAGACAGGGCTTCTTGTTATCTTTCATGGAACTAGTTGTTAGTATTTTTGAAGTCTCATCTGCCAATTTCAACAGCATCTAGGTTTATGCCAACAATGGGAGTGCTAAAATGTAAAAACAGAACTGTACTATTACTTGCACATTTTAATTCCAGGTAGTTATTTTAAAACAACTGGTTTGAATTAGATGTATTCTTCCAGGTCACATAGGAGTAGAGAGCTGAAACGAAAAGGAAGACTAACTTGGTCAGGTGATTAGTTTCTAGATACAAGATAAAGACAATGCTAGAAAATAAGACAAGGCAATGTCTCTGATCTTTAATCCAAAGAAGTCTCTTGCAAACTGTCAGGGGAAAACAGGAGTGCTACTTGACATCCCCCCTGCAGCACAGACAAGGGTCAGAGTAAGAGGAGCACACCTTTCAGCCATTCCTCCTTTGTGCAACTCTCAGGTCAGTCACCTTCACTATGTTTTTTAACAGGGAATGTCTTCAAACTCACAGACAGACTAAATATCCCGGTCCCAGTGGAGGCAGACCTGACCTGACTTCACACAGAGCTTCTGGAAGACAAACGTGACCCAACACTTCAAGTTGACAGAAAGCAAAAATCTCATTACAACAATTAACAAAGCAGACATCAAGTCACAACTGGCCACACATTAAGGCTTCATAAAAGCCAGTAAGACTCAGTCCCAGCTGGAAGAGTTCACATGTAATAATACTGTGCCTCTACCATCGCTACTTTGCCACTCAAACATGGAATCAGCTTCTGCTGCAGGGAAAAGGTGTGTGATTTCTTCCAAAATAGATCTGGATTCTTGTCAACTACAGCAAATCATCTTCCTTCCCTTGCAAAGAGAAATGGGTATCTCCATGAGAAGTGTTAGGGACACTACACTATCCACTCATATTCCAACAAGCATGTCTGTGAAAGAAGGAAAGTCTTGATTTACTTGTTTAAGCTTTTTGTACACTAGTACCCATTAGGACCATAACCTGTGTGTATCCTTTCCTCATACCTAATAGCTAAGAGCAATCTCAACTTCCCTCACAACCCTTCACTAAAACCACAGTCCACCTTTCAAAAACTCCATCATGGGAGAGGTATTAATTCCCTGTGGGTGTTGTGATCTTTCATCCGTAGGAACCAGTTATGGTAGAGCAAGTAACTATACTCAACAGCACAAGGTTGTCTACCAACTCATGTCGTCATCTGGATTTATTTTTACTTGCCTGAGTCTGAACAGCTCAGATCAGTGAAGGATGCCCAAAATACTGCAGCTTTTATCTTGTCCAGGATATTGGTAAAGTTTTGGTAAAATTCACATGATCCTGCACTCTGCCAAAACAGGCTAGAAGAGCCTAGGAAGGCTGACCAGCATCAAACACACAGCAGCAGACAAGGAGGGGGGCGGGGGGGTTGGAGAGAGAACAATTAGGCAAGTTATCAATCTGAAGCAAAAGCCAAGAGCTTCAAGTACAGCTTTTGGGAGCCTTCTTTACATGGAAATCCCTTGTTCTCTTTGATTACTGTAAGATACCACAGCTCTGCCAGAACAACTCTCTCCTGCTGTTCTGCAGGCATTTCCTGTGCAGAACTTGTTTCTGAAGAAGTTGACCTCTCTGAGACATGTTAAGCAGCAGCATTTCTTATTCTGGTCAGACACCACACAGACTTTTTAACAACAAATCCTTTTAAAGAGAAATAGCTTTTATGATCCACTCTCCTCATGGTAAGTCATAATTATTTCAGTGCTAGTCAATGAGATGGTCAGTCAGTTCACATGCCTGGGAAAGAGAAGACAAGGCCTGTGTTTAGCAAAGAATCATGTTGGGTTACTGAATTCAAGATGGAGAACAGAAGTTTCCTGATGTTGGCCAGTCCATTAAACCACCTATCTGCAGCTGTACCTATTCACTTGTGACTTCTCAGGGCCCAAAAGATGGCCAATACTGCTCCCCATTCTATTAAAGATGTCACTAGTGCCTTGTGTTAAAAAAAATAAAGGACCTTGTAAACTTTACAGTCGAAACTGGTACTTCCAATTCCTCAGCGTAAAATTTAAGTAACAACAGTGTTTGTGCAGGTGATATGTTCTAGGGGTCCACAACAAAAGGAAACCTTGCACAGAGCTTCCAGTGGGGTAGACAAAGCATGTTTTCATGAAGCAAAGCAATGCAGACATCATCACTAGCTACTGCTACCAGCGCATTTCAGAATTTCTTGCTCTTCTCTATAAACCTACCCAAATAGCAACAAGCAACATTCAAAGTGCACACTTCAGCAGAAGAGAACAACTGCATGAAGTATTACCCGTACTTTTGGATTTCAAAGCATTCAATAAGGATTATTAAATGGGCAGTTCTCCTGATGTTTTGTACAAACAGAAAAGACTACTTTATTAACACCTCAAGGTAGCTGTTCCTGTAATTCCCACAACATTTTACATCTTTAATTAGACCCAGCTCTGCATAAACACACCCCTATGTAAAGTGTCACTGGTGCCCAGGGTGTCAGGGCTTACGGACAACATGCTAAAGCAAATATTCCTTTCCAGGACAGGACAGCAGACCCAGGCATGGGTCCTACATACTCCAGTCAGTTTTGAGTAAAAGGTGAGGAGCGAAATCATATTGTCCCCGAGGTGTCCTTTGTGGTGGGCACCTCTCTGTGCTCCCCTTTAGCTACATTTAACCACCTGGGGGGAAAACCCAGTAATGGGCTTGCTGCAGTGGCTCGGGCACAGCAGCTGATGCCGTAACACAAAGCTATGAAGAAACCAACCGCAAGAGTCAGAAGTAGCAAAGTAGTATCATAGAACTTAGCTGCGCTTCTGGATATCTCTGCTGACTACAGAGGGGCCCAAATCTGGATTTGCTATTTTGTAGAATGGCAGTTTTCAGCCTTTTTCACGTTTCCTGTCTTCTCTTGGACATCAGGAACCAAAGCATCAAGTTAGCAAAAAGCTTTCTACAATTTATTCTTAAATTTTCTTATGGAATATTTAAAGGCAACATTGTAGAAATATCACTACTCCTAAGTTTTCACTAGGGCTGCTTTTTTAAATGAAAAAATATGATCAGAAGCATACAAGATTCCAAAGGAAAGAAAAGCCATTACAAAGCATGTATTCTGATGGAC